TTCGAATTGTTCTCCCAAATACCTGGCAAATGGTACATAATGGAAAAAGATTAAATGTAGCAAATAGTTTAAATAGAGATGTTTCTTTAGCTTTGCAAATAAAGAATGGCCTAAACAATACTTCTCAAGATTATATTCCAATCTACTGGTTCTCCAATGTGAACTGCTCAACATATTAAAAGCACTCATTTAAAAACATATTTAGAATCTGGTTAGAAACAACCATGTTTCATATAAACACAACAACAGATCAACAAATTCTAGTCAAAACATCGGCCATTACTTATTTGATTTAAAAACAAAACAAAGAATGTTACCCAAAAAATCAAAGAGCAACCTAGTGGAGAAAACTAAAGTGGTTTCAGAAAAACATTTAAAACTTGGTGCTCATTAAAGCCAGTTTTGCATAATTTACTAAAGTAGTTTCAGGTTGTTGAATATTTATGTACCACTCACTGAATATATGTGCAGAAGATACTGCTTTTCAGATATATTATAGCACTGAGAATTTCCCATTTCAATGGATGGTTATTATATTAAGTAACATCAACAGGATATGGACTATTCATACTAAATACATTTGAATTTAAAGCTTTAGTAAATAATCACTGACATTTTATTTTCTCCTAAAAACATTCAATGGGCCCCTCTGAAATATTAGATATCAGAAATAATGAAGCAGTAATATAAAAATTAAAACTTAGCTTTATATAGATGAAGGATTAATGGTTAAAACAATTATAGCAAGTGAAGTTTCCAAAATTGTTTTAATCTTCAAAAACACTAATCCTTCTCTAGAGGGAAAGTTCTTATTTACAGGACAGTCTCTAGAAGGGAATTTTATTTCCAGAAGACTGTTACCGTTCTAAGCCCCTTCTTCCCACAGCAAGTGTAGTCTACTCCAAACTGGGCAGACTAGCTACTCGTGATATTCAAACAGTCGCATAATCAAACATGGAGAGGCCATACCTGAATACCTTCCCTTGCTTCTGGGTGCCCTAATTATCCAAGTCTTAATAGTGTAGCCATCTTTAATACATGACAGAGCTAAAACCTCCCAACTCAGCCACCAACCACTCCAGAAGAGAAAGAGAACATCTCTCCCAGAGGTCTCTCCCACATAAGTTAACTTTGCCCAAAGGAGTTTTTCTCCCTAGTATCCTTTTTTAAAGGAGATATTTCTATACATAATCATCCCCATTCAGCAACTTAACATATATATATATATATAAACGTTAGAGGACAGGGAGGACTATGGTATTTCAACTAAAAACACAATATATAGCAAATTCCTGATTTAAAATAGTTCTGGACAAGCAGTAAAATTAACATTAGGTCATGCTCCTGGAAAGAATTAGTAATTTCTTGTAGGTGAAAAGATACATTTCACATTTAATGTTTTTCTTAAGACACTTTAAAAGCAGGCTAAAATCTGAAAAACTTGTTTCTTTTAGAAGATAAAAAATATTTCTGCAGTTGCTTCATGCTGTAGTATTTATATTTTATTTTGGGGAAAAGGCATAGACTTACTTAGCTATGATCCTACCAAAAAAGCAATAGAAAATGTTGATATTAAACATTTTTCTGGAGTCATTCGACCTTACCTTGGCTTGGAATTTCATAAAGCTCTTCTCTGAACATTGTTTCCTGTCTGAAAACTAAGAACTAAATACTACAAGCTTCTAAGTTCTTCCACTTTACATGGAAATTAATAAACTAGTTTTAATATTGGGCTGAATTTCAAAGTTCTGTTCTCTATTCCTATTTGGCTGAAAAGTACAACTATATCAAGAGAGTTTCTATCAATTTTCAACTAGAAGTATCAGTTTTGCTGTCAGAGCTCTTTATTTTTGTACATAAAAGGAAGTGGGTTTTGATACTATCTCAATGTTCTTCCTGTCTTACAATGCATTTGAAATAAAGTGATGTCAGATTGAGAGGAAAAGCCCTAAATAAGAAAAAGGAATAGGCACAATTAGTTTGCTTTACCTTCATTAATAACTGCAACTGATTTAGAGCTGCTCTGCTGCGTGCTGCTCCTATCACTGCTAACTACAGATTTTCCACTTTAATTTCAATGGACTACAAGAACATTCATAAATATATAACATATACCTAAAATATCCATATCTATACCATACGTGACCCATTAATGAAAGATTAAATCATTCTTCACTATTGGTAGTCCAGCATTTATCCATTTCTTAAGAATATCAGAGCTGCTAGAGTAAACATGAATTCCACATGACATCATGTGTACCTCTCATCTCCACCTTCCAAACACCACATACGGCCCATTCTACTCTCATTTTAACACACTACCTACAATCAGAAAAGATCTTGATGAAACATTTCATTGTAGTGTAAACCAAGGATAAATATTCAATATTGTGGTAAGTTCTAGAAAAGGAATGAATCAAAGGCAGTTCAAAACAATTTCTCTGAACCACAATTTTTATTTTGCAATTACCTTGCTGTTAGTATCTTCTATTATTACTGGAGGCCCAATGCACGAAATTCGTGCAAGAGTAGGCCTTCCTTCCCCTGTCTACCGGCATCAGCTTCCCTCTGGCACCTGGGACCCAGGCTTCCCTCACAGCCCAGCCTTCGTCCGGAAGGTCGTCCAGAAGGACGTCCAGTCTAATTAACATATTACACTTTTATTATTATAGATGCTGAGTACTGGGCAAGGTTATGCTATTTTTATCTACCTCATAAGCTACTGACAATGGGGTTCTATTGTTATTTCTTAGATCTTCCTGTATCATAATACATTTACCTTAAATTCTTAGAGACAACTTTTAACAACATTGTACAGCCACTACTTAAAACAGCTACTGTAGCATATGTGGCTAATGAAAAGTCAAGACTTCCAAGACCATGATTTTGTTTCCACTTTATTAGTCTGACCTTTTTTTAAAAAATATATTTTATTGATTTTTCACAGAGGAAGGGAGAGGGATAGAGAGTTAGAAACATCGATGAGGGAGAAACATTGATTAGCTGCCCCCTGCACACCTCCCACTGGGGATGTGCCTGCAACCCAGGTACATGCCCTTGACCGGAATCCAACCTGGGACTCTTCAGTCCGCAGGCCGACGCTCTATCCACTGAGCCAAACCAGTCAGGGCAGTCTGGCCTTCTTTAACACTGCTTTCCCTGTTTCCAGCCACATCTAGACATTATGAATCTTGCTAACTGTTTCTCTAGCCCAGTGATAGGCAAACCGCAGCTCGCAAGTCACATGCGGTTCTTTGGCCCCTTCAGTGTGGCTCTTCCACAAAAATACCACGTGCGTGCACGTACAGTGAGACTGAAACTTCGTGGCCCAGGCACAGGAGTCGGTTTTCGGCCTGGGCGAGTCTATTTTGAAGAAATGGCCTTAGAAGTAGGGGGTGTCGGTCGGTCGGGCAACGGGAGGCGCAGCACAGGCGGGCTGCGGGATACGCAGCCGGGGAGGCATGCGTGATTCATGCAGAGTTGAGTGAGCCAGTCAGTCAGCAGTTTAAGTTTAAAAAATTTGGCTCTCAAACAAATTTCAATCGTTGTACTGTTGATATTTGGCTCTTTTGACTAATGAGTTTGCCGGCCACTTCTCTAGTCTGATGACTTTGCTTGTTTCCTAATCTTATATCAACAATTTCTAAACTTAAAAAGTTGAAACTGGGGAGGCACAGAGGAGGGACAGAACTTTTAATACATTCAGCTCTACCCTTCCAGAAAAGGTCCTTAGTGCTTAAGGAATATAGGCCTGGACTATACCTCTTTTCACTATTGACAGCAATTGCTTTAAAAATATGTATCACAATATTCGTAACAGGTCCTGGCTTTGTCTCACCTTTATTCCACTCATTCCCAAAATTTGAGGTCTGGGTTGTTGTTCAAGTGGTTGTGATCTTAAAAGCTAAAATCCTCACAATCCCAAATTTTCCCCAATTGCATGTGTCGTAACCATACCAGAGAACTCACATGATTCCTCCAATTATCTCAATTCTCTCCAGGAGTAGCATACACATTAACACAGAGATGAGGATAAATGAGACTTTTTCTGATACAGTTCTACATCAATACTTCTAAAGGAACTTAAAATTAATGAGTCAAGTATTCCAAAAAACAAACTCTTAGTGTCTAGATCCAAAGACAGCTCACCTAAAACTTAAACCTAAGAGGAAAACTATTAATGTCTATTTTGCTATGTAAAATCAGTCCAGAGTAAAAAAAGGCCTTGTATCAGTCCTTAAAAAGGAATCACCATGGTTTGTTTAAAATCTGCCTTACCATGTATAGCTAAATTTATTAATATTTTGGTACAAAAACCATTTGCCCTCTTCAAGACTCTGACAAGAAGCTACAGATAATTAGCAAGGATAGGTAATAATATGTATCCTTAAATGGAAAATTCATGTCAGGGAAGCTGTAGCACAAGACACTATTCCTTAAAGAAAATTTTTGGGTAAACTATGAAGCAGACATCAAGCAGCGAATGAGAGCAAAAGCTAGCACACTAAATTTAGTCTTTGCTAACAGAAATGAAAAGCATTCTTTTCCTAGTAAGGAGAGAGTTGTTAGAGTAATAAGTGTTCAAATTTTAGAAGAGAAGATTAATGGGGTAAATAAAATGAGAGTATCCGAAAACAGGCTATAGATGGCCAAGAGCTGAAAATAAACCCAGGTAAAAGCTAGAGCCGTAGTGTCCAATGTGGTAGCCACCAGCCATAAGTGGCTATTGAAATTTAAGTTAAAATAAAATTTAAAATTCAGTTCCTTGGTCACACTTGCCATATTTCAAGTGCTCAATAGACACATGTAGCTAGTGGCTATTTTGTTGCATTGGACAGCATAGAAACAGAACACTTCCATGACAGAAGGAAATTCTATTGGACAGTACTGATCTAAAGGGTAGGGGAAGGAGACTAACAGATTGAAGGTCTGAAAAAAAGAGGAACTACTAACAAGGCATTTATCCGACAGTACTTTATTAATGCATCAGGTGCATTTACCTTTCCTTTTCCACCTGTTCTTTTTCCCCTCCTTGTTGCTGCCATCACTGCTGCTGCTGCTGTTCTCCGAACTCTGGGAATCTGACTGGCCATCACTGCTTTCTTCTGAACCTTCCGAGAGCTCTTTCACCCCATCCGGCACATCTTTCTGAAAACATAAGCATCCAATTAGGATTAATCATTACCAATTCAGCAAACAGAAATTAAAGTAAGTCTTTGATACCCATTGTTGCAACTCAACTGGGTGGATTAATTTTTTTGTATTAAAGGATTCAACAGCAGAACCAATAATATTTTCTGAATCCCGGTCATCTCTTTTTTGGATCAAAGTAGCTAAAAGCTTCAATCTCTATCCAAAGGTAAAAATTTTACATGCCAATCATATGTAGGCACAACACAGAGACTTAAATTAGACAAGAACTTCGTGTGTGTGTGTGTCTATATAATAAAAATTTTATAAAGCATGTGTGCATGCATCATCCATGTAATATATAATACATATATATATTACATATATATACATATATGTATATTTGTGTATATATTAGTACCATTATGTATTATGAATTCAATCAAGAGTCTGGGTAGCAAAAGATAGTCCATTATTTGAATCTAATTGTTTCCCAAATATTGGTTAGTAACCATCAAGGCTCAAATACAAAAGAAATCTTTACTTTTTTTTAAATCACATGAATCTTTGGTTTCTACACTGGATTTTGGAATGTTAGTCAGAAAGGATACCTGTGTCAGCACAGTATGTGAGAGATAAAATAGGACAGTTGTAAGATCAACAACTAGGAACTTAAGACTTTCTGGGTTTGAATTCTGGCTTTATCTTCTCCTAACTGTGTATCCCTTCATCAAAATCTTAACCTCTCATGCTTCAGTTTCCCTGTCTATAAGATAGGAATAACAGTACCTTCCTGAAAAGATCACTCTGAAATTAAATGAGTTAATAAACGAAAAATTGTGCCTGGCATATGATAAGAACTCAGTAAATATCAGCTTTTATGAATTTATGTGGTACATAAAAATATACACATATAAATAACTAATGTTATTTCTAAGTTATAAAATTATATACAGATGGTTCTTTTTCCTCTCAATATATTTTTTATTTTCCCATATAATTTATTTTTCTAATCAGATAAAAATAATTCTGACATGTAACCCACCTACCTACAATTGACACTCGAAAACTCTGATCTAGTAAAGAACTGCTCTTTTCCACTTATGTTTATATCCTAGAGCCATTTCTCAGGTTGTACACTTCGTTAGAATACACACCCCGTATTTTTCTATTCTTTCCTTCAAAATGCAGGACAAATTTTACAGTTGACCTACAGGTTCAGCAAGTATTTTGAATTTTGAATACAAAATTTTGTATTTTGAATACAAATATAACTAACTTCTTTGCCTCTATCTCTTTCACTACTCTTGTATTTCAGGCCAATTATTTCTTTCAAACAACAATAACGTATTTTTTACACATTTTCCTGCTTTACCCTTAAACATACCCTACCTAATTATCTTCCTAAATATGGATTTGATCATGCTATTGTCCTGAAAAAAACTCTGCCATCTTCTTAACACACATACTCACCTCTTCCCCACCCCCTCAGGTTTTCAAGAGCCTCCAAAGTCTGATCATTACCTACCATTTACCCGACCCCTGACTCCTATCACTAGTCCACACACAGATTATGGCCTCACCACTCCAATTCACTCTACTTTCAAATCCACTCTGAATCCTTCTAGCTGTGCCTTTGCTTACGCTATTCCCTTGTCCTGGAAGGCCCTCTTTACATTACTTATCTGCCAAAGTTCAACTCAAATCTTATAAGTTTAAAAAACTAAACAAACCAACACACAAAAACTTTCTAGATTCCTTTATTCAAAATTAATCTTTCTCTATATCATCACAATACTTTATAGTACAGTATACTTTATGTCACAGTTAAATTTTGTCAATGTACAATTATTTCAATAACTATGTGAACATCAAGAGCTCAGAGATCACCGTTTATCCTTCTTTATTGCCTCTACAATGTCCAGCATGGAGTACGTTATTAACAATACGGAAAGTCTAGAACGCTAAAACCTGAAAAAAATGCAAACAACTCCATATGGTACTATAGCCCTGTAAGCCCAGGAAGTTAACAAAGTGTATAAAAAGGAGGTATTATAGATAAATTAGATCTTTTTAATGTTAATGGGCGAAGTACAACCACTGAGCATACTATGATTATAGCATAAAGTTTAAGAGGTAAGAGATATACACACATGAGCCAAGCCAAACTAACTAAATAATTAGGCCAAATCAAAACTAACTGAAGTCTCCTGCTTTAGTTCCTGAGACTCTTTCCTCTCCAGACTTACAGCCTGCAGAGTGGAGTCATTTACAAAGAGCAAAGTGCCTGCCAGAGCGCGAAGCCAAAATAAAGTGGAGAGACCTGATAACATCCCTGTTAGCTATTGTTACCAATCCCTGGTATCATTTGAGCTCCTGAATCAAGGTTGAGTTCCCCTAGAATTTTCAGTTATCTAAACTAATAAATTCTGTTTTACTCAAACTATTCTGTTTTACTCAAGCTCATTCAGAAAAGGACACTGACAGGTCAAGGTCCCTTCTCAAGCGTAAGAATTAAAAATTACTAAGCCCGCTATTGTAAAAAGAACATGGGCTTGGAAATTCAGTCAGATCTTGGTTCTGATTCTGATGGTATCTGGCCAACAAGAAAATCCCATCTTTTGAACTTTGGCTTTCTCCATTATAATAATAACCATAAATCTAAATTGTAATGGAGAATTAAATGAGACGGTACTACAAAGCATCAAGGCTGTATCACTCATTATTCAAATGTGAGGCCCTTGAAAAAGCTTCCGAAAGACATTTTCATTTCATCCTTCCAAGATAATATTATCATAAACAATAAAAAATAAATTGATTTCTCTTCTCTGATCTATCTAGATGGTCAAAGAAAATATTTTGAATACAGGGCCAAAAATATTACCTCTTCAAAAACAGAATTCTGTCTCTATGACGCAAATATTTATATGTAGTCACTTCATGATTTACTTTTTAAATGACTCCAAAAATATTTACCTTCAAAGTATATACTCCCATTCTGCCTGGAACCTTATAGAAGATGCCCTCTTCACCTCGGGAGTTTGTGTGCAGCATTGCGTTCAGGCATGCAAGAGGGGAAGTCCCACTGCAAAAAACACACAATGATTAGTGTCTATCTCTGAATATCCAATGTAGCACAGACTTAAGATAAAATTAACTGATCAACACAAATTTAACATTAACACATTTTATAAACCTATAAAAAGTCCATCAATCTACTGAGAGGCTAGAACAGAGAAAATGGATGTAGAGGCTCATTCTCATATTATCTAAACAAAAAATAATTCCTTAAGTTTCTTAATCCTCATCAGTATCTAACATTTAAGCCAAGAAAAACTCATCTCATGAAAGTATCACAAATAATGTGTAAAGATTCTATTTCACTTAAAGTTTTGCCAATTATAACTCACTAAAGCTGAATTCTTTCTAAAAGACACTATTTCATTTAGCACAAACTTTACCATAACTGTCCAAAAGTAAAATAGAGGGGAAAAGAACACACACAGATTCAAATGAAAAATATTAATCTCCTTGCCAACTGCTGGACCAGACTAAATCTGAGTTGTGAAACAAACACATTTCCATGGTCTCCTGTATTTTTCCCCAATATAATTGACACATAGTTTCAGCTGTACAACATGATTCCATACATGTATATATTGTGCTGATCTCTTGCATTTGGACCTATTATGAGATCACTTAAAAGTAGGCTTTGGAATATTTCTCTTATTTTTTTATAGGTATGTCTGAGAAATGTTTATTTCTTTTTTTCTTCCTGAAATTTATTTTTATTTATTTTTCCATCACCATTTATCCCCTCTATGCTCCCTTCCATCTCTATCTATACCCCCGCCCTTTGCAATCACCACTTGTGTCCATGTCCATGAGTTCTCTTTTTCTTTCTATTTTGCTGTCCCTCCACCACCACCAGAGTTGTCTGCTTGCTCTCTATGAGTCTGTTTCTATTTTGCTGGGTAGTTCAGTGTGTTAATTAAATTCTACATATGAGTGAAATCATATGGTACTTGTCTTTCTCTGACTGGCTTATTTCACTTAGCATGATGTTCTCCGGGTCCATCCATGCTGTCAAAAGGGTAAATTTTTTTTTCTTTTTTCAACATAGTATTCCATTGTGTAAATGTACCCAGCTTTGTCATCCACTATCTATTAATGGATACTTGGGCTGTTTCCAAATCTTGGGTATTGTAAATAACTCTTCAATGTTGGGGTTTCTTTGGATAAATTCCACCAAGTGGCATTGCTGGGTCTTAAGGCAGTTCCTTTATTTATTTATTTAAATATATTTTTGTTGACTTCAGAGAAGGAAGAGGGAGAGATAGAAATATCAATGATGAGGGAGAATAATTGATTGGCTACCTCCTACACCTCCCTCCCCAAGCCCCCCCCCCCACACACACACACGCTGGGGATGGAGCTGGCAATCTGCGCATGTGTCCTCACTGGGAATTGAACTGTAACCTCCTGTGGTTCATAGGTTGCCGCTCAACCACTGAGCCACACCTGACCGGGCCCATTTTTAATTTTTTAAGGTAACTCCATACTGTTTTCCACAGTGGCTGCACCAATCTGCATTCCCACCAACAGTGCACAAGGATTCCCTTTTCTCCACATCCTCACCAACACCTGTTGTATGTTGACTTATTGATGATTGCCATTCTGACAGGTGTGAGGTGATAGCTGATTGTGGTTTAATTTGCATTTCTCTGATGATTACTGACGTTGAGCATCTTTTCATACGTCTATTGGCCATCAGGATGTCCTCTTTGGAGAACTATCTACTCAGGTCTTTTGCCCATTTTTTAATTGAGTTGTTGATTGTTGTTTTTGGTGTTGAGTTTTATAAGTTCTTTATAAATTTTGGATATTAACCCCTTCTCAGATGTATCATTGGTGAATATGTTCTCCCATTCAGTGAGTTGTCTTTTCATTTTGTTAATGGTTTCCTTTGCTGTGCTAAAAACTCTTTAGTTTGATGTAGTCCCACTTGTTTATTTTTTCTTTTTTTAATCCTCACCCCAAGATATTTTTCCATTGATTTTTTTAGAGAGAGTGGGAGAGAGAGGGAAAAACAGAGAAATACTGATGTGAGAGAAACACATTAATTGGTTGCCTCCTGCATGAGCCCCGACTAGGGCTGGGAAGGAGCCTGCAACCAGGGCACATGCCCCTTGACAAAAATCAAACCCGAGGCCCTTAGGTCTACAGGCTGATGCTCTATTCACTGAACCAAACAGGCGAGGGTCCATGTGTTTATTTTTTCTTTTGTTTCCCTTGCCTCAAGAAATATATCAGAAAAAATATTGCTACAAGAAATGTCCCAGATTTTACTATGTTTTCTTTTAGGATTTTTTATGATTTTGAGCCTAACATTTAAGTCTTTAATCCATTTTGAGTTTATTCTTGTGTACAGTATAAGAAGAAAAAACTTAAAGACATCCAAGTTGGAAAGGAGGAAATAGAACTGTCATCATTTGCAGATAACATGGTACTATACATAGAAAACCTGAAAGACTGCACCAAGAAACTTCTAGATTTAATAAATGAACTCAGAAAAGTAGCAGGGTGCAAAATTAACATCCAGAAATTGATGGCATTTTTATACACTAATAATGAACTCTCAGAAATAGAAACTAAAAACAAACAAACAAAAATCCCATTTACCATTGCAACAACAAAAAGATACCTAGGAATAAACTTAACCAAGGAGGTAAAAGACCCGTTCTTAGAAAACTACAGGATCGGACATTAAAAAAGAAATAGAAGATCCACCTGACAGCCCCCTTCAAACACTTTAAGACTCTTCATAAAACCCTGAAGTCTACTACTTTTCAAAATTTGGGTCTCTCATCACTGGCATTCCTTCCTGCAACCAATCTAAAGAAATTAATATAATGAACTTTTATAGTCCACCCTCATAATTCACCAGTGTCTTCTAATATTTATAACCCCCATTTCAAGCCTTTGATAAAGAACTTCATTGGTCTAACTTATTTAATCCTAGAGATATTTTCTCCTGCAATAGATTAACCTGCCTAATCTCTACTTTAATCCCAATCTCTTGTTCATTTTTTCTGTACTCCCTCCAATATAACAGCCTTGTCAAAACTAGGCCTTCATTAGCTTCCCTATCTCTGACTGAACTGCTATACACTCTATATCCTTCAAAGCTCAATACCTTGAATTTCAATAGGGTTAAAGACTCAGACTTTCAAGATTAAAAGAAAAGTGGAGTCATCTAGTTCCCCTTACAGATGCTTGAATGCATTCTTTCAGGTCAACTTTATTTTTTTTTAAATATATTTTATTGATTTTTTACAGAGAGGAAGGGAGAGAGATAGAGAGTTAGAAACATCGATGAGAGAGAAACATCGATCTGCTGCCTCCTGCACATCTCCTACTGGGGATGTGCCCGCAACCCAGGTACATGCCCTTGACCGGAATTGAACCTGGGACCTTTCAGTCCACAAGCCGACGCTCTATCCACTAAGCCAAACCGGTTTTGGCTCAGGTCAACTTTAAATGTAAAAAGATAATAAACTTATAAGTCTCTTTTACTCACTTGATACACTTACACATATACCTATACACACCCACCCCTGTTATCATTATCCACATACAAACTAAAAATTCAACACAGATAGCTTTAAAAGCTAGAACTGATTTTTATGGCACGCTTACCTGACAGCACACAGAACAAAACTGAACTCAATACACCTTTATGTTGAAAAACAGTGAGTTTAAGGATCACTAAATTAATAAATAGACTTAATAGGTTTTTGATTCACTAGAAATCTTTGTATTATTATAAACTCTTTCATTAAAACCTTTTCCTAGCTTTTCATTGATCTTATCACCTGCAATTCTTCTAAGAAGTCCATTTGGTTAACAACTAATCTACTTTAAAAAAAAAAAAACTGCCCTAACCGGTTTGGCTCAGTGGATAGAGCATCGGCCTGTGGACTCAAGGGTCCCGGGTTCGATTCCGGTCAAGGCCATGTACCTTGGTTGTGGGCACATCCTCAGTGGGGAGTGTGCAGGAGGCAGCTGATTGATGTTTCTAACTCTCTATCCCTCTCCCTTCCTCTCTGTAAAAAATCAATAAAACATATTTAAAAAAATAAAAATAAAAAAGTAATAGATTTTAAATTCAAAAAGTAGCATCTGACTCACCCACACTTTAAAGAATTAGTTTCTTCAAACTGTTTTCGTCCATAAACACACCATGAAACAAATGATAGTGAAACCATTGGAGAGAGAGAAAAGGGTACGAAGGGAAATTTTCAACAGGCATTTTTGGAAAAGCCCAATTGGGACCCCACAATGAGAGGTCTGTACTAATAGACCAGTGAAACACAACAAATAAGAGAGCAATCTAGAAATAGCCTGGAGAGGGAAGTCATAAAAAGAAACCGAAAAAAAGTTCTTTGGAAAATTGCTTGTATACTCTCTCTGTCCTCTTAATACTTCACTGTAAATCTTCACTCATTCTCCCATCGTCTTTTTTTCCACTGTTATTTTTAAAAAAGCATAGTTTGCCTACTACCAGTTAAGATGTGAGCAAAACGCCGAAACCGGTTTGGCTCAGTGGATAGAGCGTCGGCCTGCGGACTGAAAGGTCCCAGGTTCGATTCCGGTCAAGGGCATGTACCTGGGTTGCGCGCACTTCCCCAGTGGGGGATGAGCAGGAGGCAGCTGATCGATGTTTCTCTCTCATCGATGTTTCTAACTCTCTATCTCTATCTCTCTCCTTTCCTCTCTGTAAAAAATCAATAAAATATATTTAAAAAAAAAAAAAAGATGTGAGCAAAACTCTTTGGAAGAAAAAGAGTCCAGTGATTATGTTTTATTTTAAAGTAAATATATGGAACAATAAGGTTCAATTTTTAGATAATCACAAACTCTAGTTTTAGAGAGTTTAGAGAACACCATAACTTTTCACCTGAAGTGAAATACAAAGCAGTTCAAGAACCTTACCCAATGTCCTGATCCTACTCAAAAGTGAGGCAACAGAAGCAGCACTTATGTTTCTGAGTCAGACAGATGAGGGTTCAAGTTTTATCTCTA